CCCCAAAACCCCAAAACCCCAAAACCCCACATTACTAATATTTCACTCTTTATTGAGAAAAATTAAATTGTAAAAATATATTAATTTACAAAATGAAAATAACCTTTGATGAGTATTTAGCTGAAAGAAATAGGAAACAGCTTGAGTAGATATAAGACATCAAGGATAGAGAAGCTAATCTCAAGAAAATTCCATTTATTGATCATCTACCTATGTAAGTAATACAGTTTATTGAAAATCAATATTGATTCGATCTTAATTAAGATGATTTGCAATAATATAACATTTAATCTTTCCTTTGATATTCCTAACAAGTATTAAACTTTAGAATGTTTTGGTGGCATAAAAGACAATGTAGAGATTACATTGAGGTACATATGCAAGTTAGTATGCTGCTAGCATTTTTTAATAGCTACGCTCTAGTTTAGTCAAGACATGGCTAACTATTGACTTTCAGACGAATTTTCTGGCATGGAGTGGCTCTTTGCCCAGTTTATGCAGCTATCGCTGGCTTGTTCACATATTTCATTAATCCTTATTGCCAAGAACATAACAGAGCAGGCCTATAGATTATTTCTCCTGAGTAAAGATTTAAAAACTACTTAGACGAAAAATATCATTTGTTTGATAACTCTCATTAGGAATTTTACAGATAAATGCAACCATATAGCGATAGATAAGATAGAAAAAAGCTGAAGAAGTTTATGGATGCTAGAACGAATGAGCATGAGACTAACCTCCATGGCATTTTGAAAGACAACTATGATATAGCCCATAATAAAAAGAAAAATGAATGAGAATAAGTTATGATAACAGTGCTTTTGATTATAATTTATGAGCATATTTTTAAAGATTACATTGATGGATGAATATTTTATTATGATTTAATCGTTCCTCTGAGGAGAAAAAAATTAGACTTTCCTATAAATAATGAATTGATTATAGAAATATTTAAATTTTAATGGCTCAAAAATTTCTTAATAATTATAATCTAATCAAATATGACTTAATTAAATCAAAATGAAGCTAGCACTGTGACAATGCTTAGCTCATTCTCAAAATAACTTGAGATTCTAGCAGTCAATTGGTATGTTAAGCAGCTATACACCAAGGAAGACTACTTGTTCAAGGTGATATTTGACAAAGCCCATCGTCCAGAATTATATAAGCAAACAGTAGATCCAAGGATTGAAACTAAAGTTACAAAATAAGATCTACTAGACTTTAATGATATTTCTAATAATGATACTAATAACTTTTTGAGTTAGAATTATAGCAGTTAAATATTTAAAATGACATTTGATGAACTAGCATTAGTAGAAACCAGAGGTTAAAATAGAATGGGACTGCTGTATAAATATCCTCTAGTTTTTTCATTGATTGGATTATTGATATTTAAAAGAAGAGTTTAAACAAGATAAAAAAATTACTTCTTGAGAGATATGTATTTGAAGGTTGATAATGAGGCAGTATTTACCTCAAATAATCTAAACTAGATGCTGCTATTTATTGAAGTTTCAAACTTAGTTTCATTTTCTATGGGAGCTTGCTTATCTGGAGTATTTTATTTCAATGCACTATGGAAAAGATATTTTACTCTATAGAAAAATGAGGAGGAATTAGCATAGAAATATTTGAGATAAATTCAGTGTTATCATCGTATATTTAAATCATGATTGTTAAATTAATGCCTAAAAACATATTATCTCTATTTACTTTGAAAATTGATAATTGCGGGGTTTTGGGGTTTTGGGGTTTTGGGG